ATTGTTAGCGTGTGGATGAAAGGAACTGATTGTTAGTGCCTGCATATCAAGGACTACTGTATTTTATGCGTATCGCTACATGCAGTTAATTGAAAAGAATGTGCTATGAATAGTAAAGAGATCTCAGTTGTTATCTTTGATTGTTTTCTTGGCTGCATCTTATAAAACTCAGCTGTGATTTTGCAGTATAGATTTCAGTTGATTTTATTGTCCCTTCTTTTTGCAGGATTTTTGGGAACCGTGGTGATGAACAGATAGTGCTGAATGCTTTAATTAACAACAAGTGGGGGGTCGAAGAGCGTTACGCAAATGTCTTTAAAGAAGGGTCTCCGTTTACGATACGGATTTTAGTGCTGACTGAGTATTTCAAGGTCTTGATTATTACTCCGTCTAGGTACATATAATTAATAATGTGCTGGGCCTTTCTTTTCAAAGTTTACAGGGTCTGTAACCATTTGTTAATCGACTTTTTTGTGTCAGGAAAATATATTTTCAAAGGTTAGGGAATAGTAGGCTTTCTAGATTTTAAACGGTGGTAGAAGTACTGCTCTGAATGAATCAGTTTAATTTTTACTGGAGCGAATATCGTAAAACGTTGAGTTTGAGAAATGTGACTAAAAATCTTGCACTACAAAGGTATTTTTATATTCTTCTTCAGCGATTCAACGTATCTCTTGTTTTTTTATAACATTGTTGCACCGGACTTTTTAATTTCCGGCTCTGAATTTTTGTCCCAGTTTTATTTCATAAATGAGCAAACAGTTTAATTTCTTTGAGAGAAATCTTTAAACTAATAGGGAAATGAAATTTTTGATTTTTTTTTTTTATTTCTTCTTATGGTATTATTCCACGGAAGTGTTTGGTAATAAGTGAGATGGAAGCTAGATAAAGTGAAATAGCGGAATAATTAACTTCTTGAAGAAAATGTTTCTTTGGTAGTTTAGTACTTCCACTATAGAGGTCAGTTGAAAGATAGAAGTGATTGTTTAAAATGTCTCTTCTTTTTTTATTGTTTTTATTCCTGCTTGTCCCAATTTTTTTCTATTCCTAATAGATTTTTGTGACATAGGGACGCAGAAAGAACCTTTCTATCATTTTTTTTTTTTTTTTTTT